ATATATTTCTACTTGTATGTATATTTCTACTTACCCACTTAAAGTTTGCATGTTTGATGAAGGCCATTAAAGAAGAAACAAGGAGTGCAAAGCACTTGCATCACACCTCATCGCAGTTGTTCTTTTAAACACTTTAAATTAAGTAGGATGTTGTGCGAATAGCTTGATTAGAGCAGAACACTGGCCACAGCTGTTGTTGCCAAAGTAACATAAACCTGTTTAGTTTTTGTCGTGCTCGAGTTGTGTGTATTGTAATGATATTTCATAATGAACGTAATTTAATATTGCGAATCTGCAACGCAAACACACTTTTAATGTTTTATAATTGTGTAGGTATAATTCGTTATACTCTGCTGGTTAAACATACCTACTCCACTTGTACGCGATTCTTGCTTCAGTGAATTTGGAACGAATTGTGTCATACATGTTTAGGCGTTTCAAGATAAATTTATCTAACGATCCAACAGAAGCACTGTTACAGATAACTTCACCTACTTAATATTTGGGATCAAATTATCAAGAAATCACCTGTAGATGACACAGTGAGACACGGCTTTGATAACTTATCTTGTTTTTTAAGATAAAAATAAAGCCTAAAATGTATTTATGTTTAAGTAATTTATACGGTTTATAATAATATTATTGTATTAAAAACAGAATCTACGCTTTAAAAATAGGTGCCTAGTTAAGTTAATAACGATAAAATTTTTCATTATTTTTACATGTTAATATTGCATTGTAATGTTGGTGGTGCGTGTGAACTTGATAAACGCAAGAGATTCAAAAGTTGAGCAGTAAGTGCTGTGACCACGTGTCGGGCTTGTGCTACGGCGCACGCCACGCCCACTGCTGACGTATTTATACAAGGAGTATATCTGTCGCCGCACTGTCTAAAACCATATCGTGTGTAACCTGTACTATCGCCAGCCAGACCACTACAAACTAGATGTACCCATGGTCCATAACTCGTAATATAAATGTCCAAATAAGTTAAAAAAACCAGTTTAATTTACATGGCAACTTTTTAAAACTTCTTTCACGTTCACTCTCAATTTCTTTTCCACCGAATCCCAGCACCTGGGAACTATTCAACATTAAAATGATTTTACAATGCATCAGCATTCAGCACTCTTTATTCAATACGGCTTGCCAAACAATCAATATATCTGCAAGATTAATAGTTAATGCTACATCTTTCTTGAGCATTTAATGTGTTTATTCAACAAAAATATAATACATTCGTGACTTCAAATTTACATGCCAATAAAACTTTCACTGAAAAATGACTAACACTTACTGAAAATGTTACTGAGTGAGCACTAACTCGAACGAAGCTTCTTGAATATTCGTTAAGTAAGATACCAATTGATGATTTTGTTATTGTCGTATATTATGTATTTTGATCAATGTGTTGCAATAAGTGATGTGCGTTCGTTGACTGGTACGTGCGCAGGCGCGCGTATGCTCGTTCATTTCAAAACCACAGCACCAGTACAACGACCTCGCCACGGAATAGGTTAGTAGATTACTCCTACTTCCTCGCTGGTCGCTACTAAACTTTTATGACAATAGATAATAACAACCATGTATTTAATGGGCGACATGAACTGTCGCCCGTTAAGTGCCTTTTACTTACTTCTTTATTAGGGAAAGTCGCTGACGCATTAAGGAAAAGTCCGAGTGTGTACAACGGTGACGTAATTTGAGTACCTACATATTCACGAACGTAACTAGTTGTAAGAAAATGTAATTTTAGATAAGTAAATGTTACTTTGGACTATAAAAACTTAATTCATGGTATTTTTTGCATTGATTGACGAAATCGAATCGACGACGACGTCAGAAATAGAATCTTGTAGCACTTGTGGAGACATTGAGCGACGTGAACCACTGTTTCTAATTCCAATGCGTAATACAAACTGGTTGTTATTGCATATTAATTGCATTTTGGCCTAATACATACAGTACGAACATAATCACCAGCTACTTGTTATTAAAAATGGTAATTTGAAGGCAGTAAGATTAACATAGGTACATTATGTTTTATTTTGTTTGTGCATAGTAATTGGGCGGCTAGTTATACTGTATCAAAATTATAATTATTTCCGGATATAAATAGGAACGTTCCGCCTTGACTCTATTTTAAGTATTAAATTAACTGAGTGTGAATATTATATAGAGGGTTGAGAAATAGGAATAGGATGAAACATATTAAAAAAAATTAAATAATACATTACTTTTTCCATATCAGGTTTCTCTCAAAAAGTAATGACGTGACGATGACGTCACGGAATGAAGTCTTCCACAGAACATGAAGTGTTCTTGTAAAAATAATGATGAAAATAAATGAACTCGTTCGTGGACCACATTGGTGAATGATTTGATCAGTATAAGCGGGATCTTGTTTAAACATCCGTTAATTTTCAGTTTGACAGGTCTAGCGGGAGGGCAGGGGCGGTAGTTACGTACGCGTATACACGTAGCTCGTAGTCGTGAACCGAATAATGATTTCTTTGTAAAAAAGTTAACCTACCAAGAGTCAAGATTTTGTGACTCAGTGTATAAAAAATCGTACCTAAACTTAATCTATTTCATAGATTAAATGAAATCATAGCTTAATTTTAATTTAGTATAAAGCTGACCAGTCGGAACTTTCCATCGATGACATCTGCGCCTTCTTTCCATTAATTTCTCATCTATATATTGTTAGCTCGTAAGGAAAAGCAATAACCGTTAAATAGAGTAAAATATTCACACTTTGCATAATAAATAACAAGGATTTGTGTAATATAATCAACGCATTGCTACACACATTGAAGGCTTCTACATAAAAGGTTGTCACAGTATCCGATGTAGATCTTGTTACAAACACTGCTGACTGCCTGTACCTGGCACCCTGTGTGACCGTAATACTGTTATGAAGCGACTAAAATATTCTACTACGCACTATTACAACTACAAAACAAATGTATATTTTTATAAACATTTGGCTCACTCACTTGTTTGTATAAATGTAAACAGTATGTAAGTTATGGTTAAATATAAAACCCAAATAACATATTAATATTAATGTAAAAGAGCAGATTAAATTCGTAATTATGTTGTCGCGAACGGGGTCACTTAAGATTAATTGCAGCTTTGTATCACGAAAATTAATGATCCCTTGTATTAGAAAAGAATTTAATAAATTATTACATGCCAAGAACATTACTTATGAAAATAGTAGTGCGAAAAAGTTGACGGGCAGACGCGGATGTTAGTAAATATGCGAGTTGCTTGGCGCCCACCCAGTGTCAAGGGCGGCGCTCACTCCCCGCATTCGTTTCGCTGTCACGGCCCGAGAAACAGCCAATTTAAGATGAACCACTACATTGTTCGATAGCCGCAAACACGAGCAAGGGAAAACGAAACGTAGGAGCTCATTTATAATCGGCTGTAGTATAGAACCACCCTGGCGAAGTCCCGGGCGACGCCGACGGGCGGGGCCGCGCTCTGCTTGCATTGCGTTTATATAAGCTTCAACTTAGATGTCTTCTTTAAATTAAGACTAATTATTGTTTATGTAATTAGCTTTTACTAGCGGATTAACCTTCATGTTATTTATGGTCAAATACTCAAATGCTAATCAATACTCTTAAAAGTATTTCTATCACCACATATACTTTATTAAACGACAGATATAGCGAGATATTTAAGCAACTGTTAGATTAGTATAAAAAAATAAAATTTAACTAAGAGTTTCCTTAAAATATAAACTTCAGCTCCGTAATTTATTAATTAAACTGTCAAACACCAAGCGGTCACCGGTGACCGCAACCTATTGTTCTATAATTGTGTCTGCAAAACCGGTACTCGACGAGTTAACATCAACCCTTGATTCTAGGTATTTTCGTAATCGATTACGTATGATCCGCAGGTTTTAATTTCCAATTCGTTTTGTAGATACAAAAAATAAAATATGTCAAATTTTTCCCGCAAACGTCCCATCCATTAATTCATTTTTGAGGCAGCCCAATCTGTCATAAAGTTTAAATTATACTGAAATTCTAATGTAGAGTGGTTGGAATTCTATATCTAATAAATATGTATGACAATGTAGGAACGTCTAATGTATTTACCGTTTACCTATAGCCAGTGAGTATCGATCATACGAAAGGTGACGTTAATTTGATCAGCGCGGTTCGTACAAACGTTGCTATTTCTGCCGTTGAGGACTCCAATTAATTTATATCAAGCCTTTGAGTGTAATTACGTAGAAACAAATTAAATTTCGTAAGGTATCGAAGCCTTCTACTAAGGATGTTCAATATTTTAAGAGTTCGTAAACTTCCTGACTCTCTTTTTGGCAAGAGATGTAATAATATTAACGATAATTTACTCTTATTGGACTGTTTAAATAATACCATTATTGTTGTTGCGGAATTCATTGCTACGTAGCAAAAATAATTATCGGTGCTGTTGGGAGATGTTGTCATATCTTTAAAGTTATGAGGTCAAGTGATTTCCAGTCGTAATTAAAGTCACACAATTATTTAAAAAAGCTGTTCACACGAATATTCATAACGTCACATACATTATTCACAACGTGTCATTATTTACACATTGCATGATTCGCAAAACGACCCATCGCATGGATCGATGTGGCATTTTTATGGTTTACTTTTTATTTGCCGCTGTATAAAATTTTTACGTAAATATTTTTGTTTGCCAACCGCACTGTTAATTTTATGTAAGTTTCCACTCTGATGTGCATTTATATTTAGAACGATGAAATTTACACTGTACTTCAACATTTCGAAGATTTCTTTTGATGAATCAGAGTGGAAGTTTATCATTTTTTAAGGTCCAGACAACTCTATTTCTGATTAAAAGATTATTTTATTCGGATCAATATTATATTTAAATAAGATTAAGTCATTGAGCACCGAAAAAGAATTGCCTGGATGGTTTTAATTATGCATGCGTATGCCTGTGTCTAGCGTGGTCTCTGTTGCATGCAGGTCTAGGCGAGCTTCGCAGCAGCTGTCCAGGAGCGCAGAAAGCATCGACCAGTCTTTCAAGAGGTATTCACGTTTTTGCACATACAACATTAGCCCGCACTTATCGATTGGCAGTTCCATAAAATAAATCACGTTGAATAACGCTTAGTTACAGTCTTATCATTACCATCTGGTAAATGTTTTATCAATAATTTGATTAAAGCAAACACGACGACGATGCTATCTTATGGACTTGCCGATAGATTTGGGCACCACATCAATATCTGAATGCATAACTGTTATGTTGCTCGATGTTTTGTTTAGTTATGTGTCACATTGTAATGGAATGCACATATGCGTTGAAATAACTATTAAAAATATACCATAAAAAACTTCAATTAGTCAAATGTAACTTTAGTGGCTACTTCTAAAACACTAAGAGGTTATACCAAATGATTAGTTACATCTGAAATGAATAATGCAGTCAAATAAACTACAATTATGTAAAGGTGAATCAAATAGCACATTATTCATGTGCCGACCAAAAAAGTATTAACAAAAAAATCATCTGTGGACACAAAATATTTGACGAGTTTTACGTCACAAAGCGGTCCTATCCGGCGTAATAAACATTGACCCATTTATGTAATCCGATGTAATCCCATCGATATTCACTGAAGCAGTGCAGTACAAACACTATCTCGTTATTATTGATGACTCACACCATATGCTGAATTAATGTCGAGTAATTGGCCTTCATTGGAGATACGAGATTGACCTTAAATAATTAATTCAGAAATTCAAAGTGGCAACCAGTGCCAAAGAAATTCATTTATTTGTCCGCCTTAGGCGACATAAAGCAATATTAGCTATACTTCCTTTAAAGGTCCCATATAGATTTTATAGATAATGATATGTTACGATAATATACAGACACATGTATGGCATATACATATGTCTAAAATTAATAGTCCTGAACAAGTATAATTTGTGACGCCTTAACGACTATTTCCCCTGATATTTTATCTATAAGAAGAAATTGCATAGCTATTTATTTCTTAGAAAATTATCGTGTGTTTACTCAGACAGAAAATAATATTTACAGATATAATTTCCTGTGTAATTTAATTATTGCCGTTCAATTCAGTATATTCATATTCACGTTGTGGACACCTGAACATATAGATATAAAATAATAATTGTAACGTCACGAATACCGCAATATGTTGTTTTGTATATAGATTATAGGTAGGTATAATATGCATTTGGCCAACCCCTCATCGGTAGGGTATTTAGGTGAGTCGGGCAGGCCTCAACTCATTCTATTTGTATCAGTCTTACGACAGTTATTTGGGACGACAGCTTTTGGGAGTGTGGACAATTACACGTACGTTGACCCGGTGTGTTTACGAACACTCTGGCCGCATGCTTCGGTTGCATACGGAGCTTGGGAACCACACTGACTTTCACAATTGTTTTCTATATCCTCGAAATGTTCAGGCAAGATTTAGAAAGAAACTCATATTCCTTAGGCACTAGTCGAAGGCTTCTTTACTGATGTACATTTTTTGTGTTACAGGTCGAAAAGCCGTTCGGTTGACCATGGCTTCTCGCCGCCCTTCGACTTGGACGCGCTGCGCTCGAAGGTCGAAGGCAGATTTGATGCCGTGCACAGAGGTGAATAAAACTTTAATTTTGCTTTCATCTACATCAAGTCAGAAATAACCGAATATGTCCTCATATACTGAAATAATTTGGTATGAGTCAAACAACACATTCCTGAAAGATGTTATTACGCTGTAAACATCACATGATTAATTACGTTTATTAATCAAATCTGCACTTATTTCTGTAGAAATGAAATCATGGATAAATGTATTCTGCGCAATTTGTAAGCGTTCAAATGAACTTAATCACTTTTCCTTAACACGATAATGACAGAGACTATAATACTAGTTATTGCTTTTAGTGTCTCTAGGAAACTGCCTGATTGTCCGTTAATTAAATAATAATTATCAATTCAAGTTCATGTATTCCCACGATTTGTAATACAAGTAGAAACAAACATTTAAAACGTTTGTCCAGTCATGTGACGACTTGGGACGGTTTTATGAGCCATTCGTTGCGCAACCCTAACTTAACGACTTTAATTGTCGTGTTGTGACGAAATTAAAACCATGTTCAAAGTTAAAGCCCTTTCATGAAGGCACATTACAAAGCTGACGATTATTTTGGGTACACTACGGTAGAGGTTCATGGGCCCACTATCAAAATAATTTGTGACACGTATATTATTGTTGACATAATATTAAAGTTACTAATATTGTAATACTGTATTAAAAAGCTCATGACTGTGTTTCCTTGTGTTTGAAATGGTTTGAGTTCATAACTATCTTGAATCAGGCACATAATGTCGCAACTATCGTATACTTTGATGTTAGGTACTCGGTCATTCATCAACGAAAAGCATACATTCAGGCCCAGTATAAGAAGTAAACGGTTTTATTTATATATATATGTACTTATTTCGCTGCGAAAAAAAGTAAACGAGTAATAACAGATACTTATTCATATTTTAATGCGAGGCCCATTGACATTAACGACAGTAAGGAATGCTAAATATTCGTAAGCAAGCAACTTGCCTCAGTTATCGCTCTGGTTAATCGACCTACGGACCAAAGTTGTACTAAGCTGAGGCTGTGACCTCCGAGGATTTTATTCACGTTCTATAATCAGCCGGAGTCTCAAACGTCATAGTAAGGCGATTAAAATGGTTGCAGGACAACTTAGCTAAATCTATAAATAGGTTTTAAAATTAAATATATGCAATAAATAATATAAAGCTTTTAAATAAATAAATGTTATGATGACTAAGTTCTGATAGCGTTATGACGTGCATCTAGATAGAGACAGTGTCAGGTGTATAGAATTTGTAATATAACTAGTATGACGGGTTCATCTGCATACGTAGGTACACAAGTACTAAAGGACGTAATCCGTGTTAGAGAAATATTTCCTATTCGTCACGTCCGTCAACCTGCTTGTCACGAATTATTCCTTGGCATCGAGATTATATTTTCAAAATAAACAACTCGACTATAAACTAACATCCGGCTTTTAAAACATATAATCCAGTAAATTCTGCTAAAAACACTGCACCCTCTGTTTATGTTTCTATTGCTACGTTTTTATTCTATCATCATGTTGATTTATGATTTCGTAACTAGAGATAAATCTTTATGTGTAATCATTTTATATGCCAACGACCATAATATTTAACATTTGGTATGAACTAAATAAGCTTATTAAAATTCTGATGAATGCCCGTGGATTTTAGCGTAGCGTATCGATTTTTGACAGTTGATTTATGATAATCAACGGTTTAATTATCATGGTGTATCTTATTTGGTTTATAAATACACGTTCGCATTCATGTCGATGATTGATTAAAGGGCTGCCAAACGCTGACAAGAGATTTGTTATTTGTTTTAACTGCAAATATTTTTTTCATCTATATATTTTCAGGCCATATTTTTATTTGATAACCTTCGTTTGATTTATGAATCTATCACATTTAGAAATATTTATTTTGTAAATGCCGCATAGATCAATTGGTTCACTCTATGAGAGACGCAAACGTAGCTTGTCAGTCGGTCAGTTGAATATTTTTCGCAATGGCAAAACCTTATTGTTATCGGAACGTTTACGATTACGCCATAAATCATTTTGCATGAATTACGGTTGACTACAACGCCGATCATTGCACGCGGAGCAATTTGCGTTTTGTGGATTCGCTTTTATTATTTTGTAAGGCGTTTCTACGACACGGTCATATGTTCGTTATATAGTGTTACCATAATATGTGTGTAGCTAAATATTTATTATTTGGTTTCATTTGTTCTAGATGAAGACGAGCACGCCAAGAGACTACCACCACCTCCACCGATCAAAACGATGACTTACACGGTAATTTAATTATTTCATACAAAATAAGTATTAAGCTTAATTCTATAGAATCTATTTTATGCTAATTCAGCATTTCAGTGATCATTATAACAATTATGAGGTATTTGGTTAATTTAAATGTAATCTCATGTCCAGTTAAATGTACGGTATTTAATATTCATTAAAGTGATCCGTATGATAATATTGAAAATAGATATGTGTGTAAATGCATTTTATGTTGTACCCCGGTATCTTTAATGTACAACGTATGTATGTATATTTACAATAAATAATATCTTTGATTAATGAATCTAACATAGATATTTATTTAATTCTAAGGAGTTGTTGTGAAGCACACTTTAAACACCTTTATGATACCATGGAGGTCGTTAATGAAACTAAAATAGGTGTCTTGTGGTCGTGGAGCAGCATTACATAACAATAGACTATTATAAATATTATTTTATACGTTGTACGCAATATTTAATATGAAAAGGCTTCAGTACTTCGTATGCTAGTGATATAACGATACCTAATAGTTTCTGCATCCAGTAGTCTGGCTTTATATCCTCTGCTGATGGTACTGCTTTCTTGCATCCTCGTCCATAGAAAATTCCTTCTTTTCGTATTTTAATCCCTTACGACCTCCGTTCCCGCCAATTATGAATACTATATGTTGAGAAGCAAGCTTATTGCTTCATTTCAGACATGTACTGATATACGATATCCATAATGCTTTGTCCAAACTAGCAAATTCACCCCGAGAACCTTCGCATCATTATAATATTAGCTTCTGCCAGCGGCTTCGTTAGCGTAGTAGAATTGATAAATTGAAATTATATTAATTGCTGTTGATGATGATGATGATATTAAAACTTAAATGGTTTATTTAATACGCAGGTACGCGACCGGGACACCCTGACATCGCTAGCGGCGAGGTTCGACACCACCCCCTCGGAGCTGACCAAGCTGAACAGGCTCGCAACGCAGTTCATCTTCCCGGGACAGACGCTGCTGGTTCCCGATAAACGGAAAGGTGAGACAGTTAGGCTTTCATCAGTTACGTAATGTAATAGAGGGTCTATATTGTTATGGGCATGCTGAGTTATGTAGCATATTTCCAATAGTAGTTTGAAATAAGGTAAAATAATATAGATACGGTTGTCATGTTGCGGTTGACTGGTATAGAATACCACTGGCATGGAATGGCATGAAATTCGCCCTTGTATGAATATGCCGCCGTTATACGTGGTCCATGGGCGGCGCTGATCGTTTATTGTCCTGTGATCCACATGCACGTTTGCCCTCTATTCCTTAAAAAAAATTGGCATAAACTCACAAGTTAAAATGATATGCCATGATAGGAAAAAATAAAATGATGAGATATTGTAAAAATAATTTTAGACAAACTCTTCTATTCAGTAAAACATGCCGTGTAAAATAGCTGCGTCGAGGTATTAAAATAAAAGGGAGCTGTACTTATTTATACGTAGACATAAATAAAGGCCTTACTTGTGTTAACTTTAGCGAACTTTCCATTTGAAAGAGTTTCCCAAGTTCTATTATTAAACTTTTCTAAAGATATCGGTAGGTAGGTATGTTAGTAAAAGTGGGCTTTTGTTCACGAACCCATTCACATGATTCACGAACCCTTAATAAAGTTGTAAGTTGTATAAGAGCGCTGACGTGTCTCTTATGTAATTATACAATACCTTCTAAACAATAAGGTAATATAAAGTAATTAAAACTGGATAGTTCATGCTTAGTTGCAATTATACGTAGCTTTGTTATCATTATTACGATTGTGAGTAATATTTGTTTTTATGATTTCATCAAGTGAATCAAACGCTAATTATAGACAATAAACGTAACATTTGTGGTTTCCGATGTCTGTCTGTAACATATTAAAGAAAACTTACTCCTGCAGCATGTAATACGATAATTTACATCGATTTACAATCAAAATAATGGAACACGGTCGTACACACGTATTTAATGAATAAAATTACAGTCTACATGTATGGTGGAATTAATATCATGAAAGCACAGAATTAAAAGAATTTCTCAGCGAGCACGGTGAGGTCAACCTGAAGGTTACCTTTGTTTACATTGACTACGTTTAATTTTTATAGTCGACGAACATAGTACTCGGATAAATAATGTCTGTACGAATTAATTTTTGGATTTAAAATGCAATACCGACTCATTGCAGCGCTCACAACTGAAACATTACTTACCATTAAGTACTTGGAAACCAAAATATTTGATGTTTAGTCAACACGAATGTACAAACTTTTTTTGTTGGAATTCAAAATAAAAAGTTTAAAGATTTATTTTTCAGTTGCTTTTTATGTTTTGTATATTTACCAACGCTGCAAAAGGTTACTTTGGTTTCTGCGAAACGTAGTTGTAAAATAAAATTCACATCATTTTTCTCAAGGAAAAGAAATTTTGTAGGTAAAGCTGTTAGTCTTAAACGGTTGGTTATTATACCTACTGTAATATGTATGATCCTATTTAGATGATTCGCGGAAATGTAAACGGTGGTTTCCTCTGAAGACGTGAATATTTTTACAAGTTTTTTTGGCTGATGATGTTAACCTCTGCTCATATCTTATTATGATTAAAAAATCATAACATTTGAAGTTCAATGACAATGTGTGTTTTTTTAATGTATTATAGTAATTGAATGGTAACTTTGTTCATCGGTTCAAAACAGGCATTCGAAAAGAAATATCATCAAGTCTCGGTCGTTTGAATTTTGATTTATCTCATATCAAATAGTAAAATATTAAAATGAAGTCGATAATTAACAATGGATCTCGAATCAGAAGACTGAGATACAATGTATGTGGAATAATGGGGATGCGATTTCTCTATGATATAATAAAGTGCATTGGTGGTAACATTGTAAGGAAAGAAATTTAAATAGAACTAACTTGTTGCTGAGCAGTTGGTTAGGTATCAACGAAACTATCGTTCTGAGAGCAAAAACTCGGTTTTATGTCACTTTAAGTTTTAAAATATTTTTTTTTTTTCGTTTCTATTTCGGTCCTGTGTTCTGTATTTAAATACAGAATTTAAAAAAGTACAGTGGATTCTTCCGTAAACCAAAGTTTCCTACATTCATTAGAGACACGTGCATACTTACCCACATGCAATGAAAGTAGAAATTGACAAACTACACAGTGCTCTCCAAATGATGCAGTTCTAATCTGATCAATGCAATTACCAACGAATTGATTCATAGTGGCGAAATACTTGTTCTATTACATAACACGACCTTCGACTAAAGTTATGTGGCAACTAAACGATCAGAAAGTACCTTATTATTGCTGTTCAGTCATGAACCTCTATTCATGTTAAGTGCAATTTTATAGACACTAACATTTGGGCCATTTTTCTTTACTTTACTAGTAATGTGTCTTCGACTATAAATATTTACTTCTTTGTGACGATGGTTTCCGAATTATTCTGTGATTCAGTGCAAATTAATTCCAATTGTAAGTATAGCTAACAGCTTGCTTGTTGTTTCATTTGAATTTATTTTATCAACATTTGGTCAGGGAAGTTTTTTACGTATTTGTAGGGATCAATTAGTATCGGCCACAATCTTTGAGTGTTATAATTAAATTCATAATCAACGAAAGTAAAACTCAACAACATTTTTGTCATAAGATCGAATGCGCTTTTTGCCTTCACGGTGCATATTATTTTATGCAAATCTTCATATTCCAACGTTTTTTTCCAAAAGTAGCTTATCTGAATACATACTTAAGTCCAAGAACGCATTCATTTTCAATAATCTCTTGACGTCGTCTGTAATTTAAATTTTCCACGCTCGTCATATTTTCTATTGTTAGTCACCAGCGCGAATAATCGATGGCCATTTCTATATTCAAATGGACCACATGGTTATTGTGTAGATATAACGTTGTTTATGTATTAATTGGTTGATAACATCAGTATACTTTAATGCGTATAATATGTATTAATTAATAATTGAAGAAAACACCATCGAGTACACGCACAAAGTCGCAAGACGTTGCATTGTCAAAGCATGAAACAAAACAATAACATTCAGCCTTGGTGTTATTCATTCATGCGTGACGTAGACATGGAACAAATTTTTCTCCTATTTGCACGGCAAACAAATGTTACAACATTGGCCGCGCCGGAGTACAGACGCGGCTGCCTCGCCGAGCGAACGCCTTGCGCTCACTCATTCTATTTTAATTTGTCACTAAATTACGTTACGTACGTCGTACGTACGTCCTACATTTGTAATTACGCCACATTGGAATCAATTCTTCCAGCCATACCGGCTCTCGGCCTGTGCAGTAGTCGCCAAGATAATGAGTTCGGTTTATCACAACCGATAAATGTGCAGATATGGACCTAGTGGTGTTTCAGCTTTACAATGTTCAGTTTTGAATTCCTGAAACGGTGGTATCACGGTGTGTTTTCGTGTTACATTATTACAATACTTATATTTTACTGTCGTTAGACGTCACTACATCTAGCCGGCACCATGACCGGCTCGCGTGTCGTGTAAACAAAACAGGTGTAAATAACAAGTGATGTGTCGATTTCCAGATGGCGATAAAGACTCTGATGGGCCGTCAGAGAGCGGTGATAACACATCTGAGTCAACACAGGGGCCACCGAGCGAGCCCGCACAAGAAAAAGGTATGAAAGCAAAGAAACTAACGAACCACAAATATTCCAATTTACTTATTTAGGTTTATGCTAAAACGATACGAACGGCTGCGCTGAATGAATTATGAAACCATCAACAATTGCCAATCCCTTATCAGATCACGGTAAACTCGACTCGTTATCGAGAGCTAACAAGTGTTTGCAATATTTTTAACGGTGCACGACATAACGCAATTAAAGTATGGACTATGCATCCAATATTGGTGATACTTATAAAGTAAGTATGAGATATACAACAATACCAAACAAAGAGCTAAAAAACTAGTGATATTTTTCCTTCTACCAAGTGTTTTCAACCTAATCTAATCCGTGAAGGATGATGATTGCTATAAAAACGTAGTAAATTACAGTAATTTAAATGCAAACTTCAGTATAAAACAAGTGAAGTAGGTAGTAAAGTTTATAGCAACAAAGCGCGATAGCACATTAACAATCAGGAAAGCGGTTTAAATTAGCTCCGACTTCAATGATGTTTATCTAAAACATTAAAAAATTCCACAATATATTAACTTGTGGATTGCTTCCCACAACAACGAATGCAGAAGTTAATCAAGTTCATCAAACAAATGAAGTCGGTTGATGAGATAATTCTGTGTTGGAATCAAGGATTCAATGAGCAACACACAACATAGATAATCTATATAGGTTATGTATTCAATGCAGGCGGTCTGTCACTGTCAGTCTCGATGAGCGATGATGAAAAGATAAATGCTCCGAGCTCCGGAGGCATGGCCATGACAGATGATTTACCTCGCAAACTACACTCGTGTCCTAATTAAGTTTCTCATCAAATAATTCAGAAAATGAGTAAATTAGACTCGTACGTGGCATACTTATTGTCAGCCTTCTCATGGTTAAGTGTAATAAAACGCAAAACATGATTCGCACATTACCTATGTGAGTTGAAAAACCTCATAACTAGTTATTCGTTAATTATTTATTTTGTATTTAAAATTACCAAAATTAACAAACGAATAATAATTGTTTCGACTGCTAGTCTAGGCAGCTGTTTAATATTTTGAACAACGTGGAAAATCTGCAAATGTGCGTCATTCGACTGGATCTTTCGATTCCACTGACAGCTGTAGCGGTCACGCGATACCTGATGTTCAAACAATTACACCCCGTGTTCATAGAACGCTATATTATTACGACTTTTTTCGGAATGAAATGAAATTGAAAACCTTGTTTTGTAACAGAGAGATGGGTACGTCGCATTGTTGTCGGTTAACTATCTCCAAAGGAAAGGAAAAATATTGCTCTTTCTTTGTTATTTTCCTTAAAAGAATTGCCTCGTTTTCTGACGAATGTGAAATGATTGTTTGCGTTGTAATTGCAGAAATACTGGACAGCTTGCGGCCAGGGTCCCCCGAGGCACCCACAAGCAGCTGCGCGCCCCAGCGTTTCCTCAAGATCAACGTGCGACACATCACCGATGGACAGGTGTGTAGCTAACTTCCATACTATACTCCCAACTAATTCGAAAAGGTTGTCCAGTAAAGGAATTGTATCCCTTACAATTTCATAACTGCTTTACAATTTACAAAAATAATGCTCATATTGATATTAGCGCCAACAAGCTCTATCTTTGCCATGCAACAACTTATAAATCATTGTGAAATTTCAAACACACACTTTCATCTCGTACAGTAATTGATTTGTTTGTAGGCTATTGTTCACAAACTATTTTTATATATCGCGTTCACGTTATCATTTTATGTGGAGTCGCTTCGATAAGGCTATTAAAATGGTCATGTTACCAACAACACTATGTGAAAAGAAATTCTGTGTAGTAAACAATGTAGTTTATTTACGACCATTGCAGGAATCCTAAATATTTGTTTACAATCGTGCCTTATGAAACAAACATTACGACTCCCCTGCCAATCATTCTACCGATATCTTTATTTCTATGCGTGCCTAGTACTTGAAATATCTTCGCTTTTTTATTTAATAAGTAATACAGCGCTCGTAAACTAGTTCCAACAAACAATGTCTTGCCTCATTTGCACTTGTAAGAGTATGTCGGTCAAGTATATTTATGCAGTTGAGGCTGCAAGTATTCTCGTCAATAATACAGTTGTGTAATAGAACTCGTGCCAAAACACTTAGTCCTTCGTTATCAGGGTTTATTAGCGTCTCTCCTAGATGTAAATTCAGTAATTAGGTATTTTAAAAACGATGAGTTCATACCCTTTTATCAGAAGTTTGACTGTCGGGGAATTTTCTGATCTTTTTAATCAGATCAGGGATGAGACATGACAATGACATGAGACAAAAAATGTCTTTAGACATTAATATCGACCGTCATTCGCTCATATGTTACGAGATAGACCGGAATGAGACGATTATTTGAAAAGAATCCTTATTTTCTTTAGCCTATTGTCTGATTTTCGACACTTAAATCACTAGTGACGAGTTGACGACTGCCCTGGATAGTCTGACTTCGATCCCTTCATTCTGTAGTTGTTGGTGTTATAACGTGGGTTGCGATATATGAAATACTAAGTGAGTTCACATAAGCAATGCCTCCTCAATAATTAACACGTTCGAGGACAGAACGAGATTATACGTTATCGTTCGAGATTTTAATATCGCACAACGTACGATGACGTTCAAATAACATTTAAATTATACGGCAGAACGTTCATTTCCGATGAAAGTTCATGTAAAAATCCTTTTGAATGTATCTTGTGTCACAACACGTAAAATACCCAACACTGTACTGTCACGTAGGGTAAGTTTAGAACTATTTCAAATAAGTGCCGTTGATAGTGTGCGGTTACGGTATTCACATACGCACAACGTATTTATACGTCCCGCGCTCCTGTATTCAACGCGGCTGTGTCACTGTGTATTCTGTGTTTAACGCAAATTAATGATTTTACAGTATAAAATTGATGTTTAATGGGTTATTGTATGTTTATGACGGGTATAAGCGCAAATAAGACGTAAGATAAGCATGTTTGATGATTCGGACACCTCCATCGAGGCGGATCATTACCAAGATGCATTTACACGGTGACGTGATAAAACGGTTGTGTCATGATATGTTTAAAACAATATTTTTTCATGGGACACTACGTACTGATACGTCGTATAATTTTGTATAGACATTTACTGTGTCATTCTGGAAACCCGACTCAAGTGGTAGCGTCCTCGAACGTGTTAATATGATCTCTACTTGATCACTACACTTGAGGCTTTGGGGTAGTATGGTAGATTAAGTGACTGAAAATTTAGATGATGGGCGGTGGACCATTTCTTGGTCGTCTAACTGATATCCTAATTTGTATTTTCGTTTACCAGGGCGTGGTATCCGGAGTTCTGCTGGTGACGCCTAACGCGGTGATGTTCGACCCGAACGTGTCGGACACGCTAGTGATGGAGCACGGGCCCGAGTCGTACGGCGTCATCGCCCCCATGGAGTACGTCGTCAACGCCGCCATCTTCTACGACATCGCGCACATGCGCACGCACGGACCCGACCATAACACGCACAAGTACGTACATTTTGTTAACCCTGTCTATGGTGCAGTCAATTAAGTTATTTCATTTTAGTTACGTACTTTTTGGTAAACTAGTTAGTAGTTACTACAAGTTTTGCTCGCATTATTGTAGTAAAAAAAATAAAATAAATAATGAGATTACTGTTTATGTGCCCAATTTAATTTAGATCCGTCCGTCCGTCCGTCTTTATGTAAAAGAGCAACAAAAGTACAAATCTTAGCCAACCAAAGGTACTTTGTTAGAAATCGCGTTTGTCAAACATTCTGTGGTACATACGAATTTAAACTTTATGATTGTAAACATTTTATAGTCTCAGAATATGTGATAGATAAAACTAAAAATAAAAATAGCTACTTTCCTGTTGAGTGTAGGTATACTGTGTACCTATTTATGTAATAAATGCTAACAATGGTGATTTATTTTTGAATAACATTTCAATGCATAGATTTTCCTCATCAAGCTTTATAAGTGTAAGGTATCATTTACCTATAACATTATTTTAATTATATTTATAATTGCGAAATATTGTTAGTAAGTTTGTGTGTATGTTTGTTTGTTTGTCACTCAATCACGTCAAAACGGTTGAAGGGATCAGGCTGGAATTTGAACTAGGGCTAGATTTATGGTCTGAAATAACACATAGGTTACTTACTTTATATCCCAGAAGGGACGCGGCTGAAGTGGCTAGCGGAAGCTAGTTCTAAATGTTTCGTAATAAATATACAAATTTTCCTTGATGTTTATAATTCCTTCGTCATGGTTCTAGGTTACTACTATTAGAAAACGAATTTAAAGTTAATTAAGTAGATTTGCACAATTTTCACGGTTGGTTTCGAATAAAACGTCACGTCTTGTTTTATATTTCTTTCAATATCTTCGCTGTAGTGGTTATAAGTGGTGTATATAGTTTTATTTTTTATAATTTCAGAGCCGAGCAGGCCGAGATCTACTACATGAATAAGACAGAACTGTCACCAGGAAAGGACTCACTTCTAGTCAAAGTAAGACATAATAAAAATACTTTTTAAATTTTACATAAACAATTATACACAAAAACAATTCCATTTTAGACTCGTTTAGACAGAATTTTGAGACAATTTGAATGGAGTTTAATGTCTTATCTATGTAACAGCCAAATTTACCTAATGACACAATAATAAGTTGCTGAAAAGAGCTGTTAATAATTAGTATTAATTACAACAAATCCAGAAGTATCTAGAATAACTAAATGTTATAATTATGTTCCAGGATGAAACATTCCCGGAGCTGCAGGCGGCGACGGGTGAGAGCGCGGACGGTGAGTCCGCCGCGGACCCGCGCCCCGGGGACGAGGCGGAGGACCGCGGGGGCGCCGCCTTCCCCAAGGCATTCGATAGGGAACTCGTCACGCCTACTGCCCTGCAGGTACACTAGTCACATCGCATTATAATCATATTTAAACTGTCAAATACCAAGCGGTCACCGGTGACCGCAACCTATTGTTCTATAATTGTGTCTGCAAAACCGGTACTCGACGAGTTAAATGGCGGCAATTGGCTTAAGGGTAGCCAGTAGCCACTAAGCTGGACAAAATTGGTAGGTTTTTAAATAAATCAAGGTGATCTCCCCAGTTATAATTATTTAAAGTTATCTATAGATTTGTGAGAAAAGCCAGTTAAAAATACCTCTTTATGAGAATAAAACGTGTGATGCTAGAAAACGATTACTATCTGAATAGTAATAATTACAGGGTTATTAAATAATATCATCATTTTTCTTTTAAGCAACAGTCGACTGAGGACAGGCGAAAATCATTACTGGACCAACACTGGGCCATTCCGAGCAAAGACAGGATGTCCATCGATCAAGGAAGTGAGGTGAGATATAATTATTAATGATTTTGTTCAACTTTTAATCTCCCTTCATTAAGAAATAACTACGTATCAAATGCAATTTCACGGCTAAAACGCCAAATTCATAAGTCTAAAGAAATCTAGTACCAACCCTTTACTAAATTTTATAGAATGCAGTGAATAAAATATTTGTAATTATGTTGACAGATATCATCTACGGCGGACGCCGGAAAGGAAGAAAGCACGGGTCCTGAGCCGGAGGCGGGTGACAGTATCGCGGCCGCAGATGGATCCGAGGCCGGGGACGCGCCCGATCAGGACGCACAACATCTGGTCAAGCTGTCCTACCATGACTCCGGCATCGACATTCGTGACCCATTGCTGCATGTTACACCTGCTAATTCTAAAAAAGTAAGTGCCCTTCTTACTGTTACATAACAGCATACTGCCCATATATTTTGATACATGCGTGTCACAGCGGTGGTCCGAATATTTTTGGTATAACTCTTTAAGAAGTGTCATTATTATTAAACTATATTTTATTGCCCATGGCCATACCAATCATTGAAATGTACAGTTAAACTAACACATATTAACATTATTTTATTCCCAGCCACATAATAACACCACATTAACACTAACCATGTTTTAGGGTTCCCTCATAGATTGCGATGATTATTATCATGAGATAGATACCATATACGAGTCGAAGGAACTGGAGATCGATAGGGACTGGCACCGGGACGCTGCGCATGCGCTGCAGTGTTTCATAGTACTACATAAGAACGGAGACGCTCGCTCTGATTCCGTGTACTCATCGTGCGATGAGGTGAGAGGGGGTGACGTCATACATGTGTCTAAAGTGACGTCTAAACTCTCGATACTATCGGTGTCTATGACGGTAGTTGACTATCAAAAGGATTGGGGCTTTATCTAAATTCTTCACCTACGCAGTCTTCATTTCGGGACTATCCGTCTCTATCACATCACTATGATGTCTTCTTCTAAAGACTTTTTGAGATTTTCACTGGTTCGATGGCATTAACGTTAACTACGATTAGTGTAGGACGGTTACGGGCACGCTCAAGACGTTGCCGTTACAAAGTGTTAACGTTAACGCGAATGAATAGGTGATAAAAACTTGCACTAGGCGCTCTGCCTCTGGTATCTGGGACGTACTCTGTATATCGTAGTTTCTTATTCGCTACAAGTAGTGTTGTAAATGCCCCGGTTGTTGTACTGCCGCGGCCCGCAGGTGTACAGCGACGCGGACATCGTGCTGTCGGCGGAGTGGGTGCCGCCGGTGTGCCTGGCGCGCGGCGAGCCGCCGCTGTCGGCGCCGCCGCACAGCGACGCGGAGCGCGCGCGCAAGACGCAGGCCGTCTCCTTCTCGCTCGACAACGCCGCCGGCAAGGACGATGCTAAACCTGATAAGAAGAATAAGGTATCACATATACTCGTCACTGCTGTACAGACCCTCGGTTATTATTGAGATTGAAAATCGTTGATGACAATGAAAATATTTGTAATAATGTTAAGTAATGTTATTCAAATATTTATACACTAGCTGTTACCCGCGACTTCGTTCGCGTGACATTATTCATATTGTTAATTTATACTTTTTTGACGCGACAACTTGTTGATTGGCGAGGCGCTAGTATGAAACGGAACGTTTATTACTTAAGATGGCGACTGCGGTTTGTCTGTCAGTGTCATTAAAATGAATTAATAAAACGAAATCATCTACATAATCCGAATTTTGCGGATATAAGTTGTCGACTCAAAATCGATATTTTTTTGTGTTTTGTTATTCAGGTAATGTTTCGGAGTCTGCCGTACTCCTTGATGAAATTATTAATATAGATATTTATATGGCTTTTTCAAAATTAATTTTGGGGCAGCAGACAGCACTGGTTTTTAATCAGATTCGGCTTAGTATATTTTTTTTACATAGAGAGCCTTCGCCAAATCTCTAAGCTACAACTTATTACTGCGTTTTTAAACAGATGCTGAAGCGTCTCTCGTACCCTCTCTCGTGGGTGGAAGGTCTGACGGGCGAGGGCGGTGCGCAGGGCTCCCAGAGCGACTCCCTGCCCACGTCCGCCGACAGCCACAACTCTACCAGCGTCTTCTCTAAAGTATTCAACAGGTACGTACTCACTCACACATACCGACTAATACTTCGGATAATCTTACAACTCCAAACATAATACGGAGTAAAGGACCTAATACTTCAATCAACAGTCATCATCAGCTTGAAAGTCACTGCTGGACATGAATGACGTAAAGTTGTCAAACAGATAATAGGTACTTTAATATCACAACAAGGTGTCCTTTCTCCACACTATCGAAATGCAAATATTTACTTTGTTAGAGCATTTGTATCCACATATTGTTCTACTGTTTGTCAGTGGCATTCAACATACAGTTACATTGTTTGTATGCGTCTAATGTTGTTTACTAAACATCTCACATCTATTCTTTGTTGTTACTAATTCTTCTATCAAACTCAATTTGTTGCTTGGACACACAACGTCAAATTTGTTTGTCATTACTCATGAACTGTATTGTATTGTTCGCATACCTCTCATGTGATGTAACTGGCAATTTGCGAGCGACGCGATCATCGTGTTGTACAACGTCCTACCGATGTTTGCACAGCCAGCTGTACCGCAGTACCGCTACTGACAACAGACTCCGCCACTGACATGCGACACACATATACACATGCTGGAACTAAACCAATTAATATTGCAATCGTCAATTTTTCCTTTGCTACCGTGGATGCTTACCGGGACGTACCGACATTATACGACTCCGCCATATTCATTGATCGTTAGCTCACCAATGAATCTCGTGGAGTTCGGTACTGGTTTGTTCCTGAGTAAAACCCCGTCTGAAGAGGCGCCCCAGGACGTGTTTTCTACTTCGGGGTACGTGACGCCTCGTTCCGCTGCAACAGTCGATGTGCCCACTTGTAATGTGTTGCCTTTGACGATATACTCGTAGACCACGCCGCCATCCTGTTCATTCTCTTTAATATTTTGACTTATTGATTTATGTTGGCATTCGTATTTTATAACGTGGATTATGTTGGATGTAGAGCGTAGCGAATGTATTGTAACTGGAACAACAAATATGTTTATGTTCCCGATAACTTATCGGACGATAAATGTAATTTGTTGTTTTCAATGGGTTTTTGAACCTCTAACTAATAATGTAGTATACGTCGTAACTATTTGTTTAATAACGATAAGATCTCTATTTTTAGACGAGATTTGGTAGTGAGTCAAAATATTGAGGTGTTTATTATGACGCCGTGGTCTCTCTGTCTGGCCTTTTATTCGTTATCACTCTTCTAGGCATTTCCACCGGCATCAATGTATTTGTTTTTATTTACCTCTTGTCAGGCGGATTTTGAACTTTATCTACGATGGAACAGACAACAATATCAATTAAAACCTATTTATATTCAATGTACATATCTAATTTATTTGACTGCTCCATCGTATAACTTCAGAATCCAATTTCCTGTTAAAGCTAAGGAGCATGATGTATATGTGTTAGGAAGTTTAGTCATCATTTTCCAGATAGAACCTCTAGCGTTACAATCTATGTATCATGTCATCTCCATTACTATAGGACTGATGTTCTAGGATCACGACACTCCATCACCTTGTTACGGCACCCTTTGATATGTATTGTGTACTGTTTTGGCATGTTTAGCTTCAGACGTCTGCTATACGAGACGTGCCTTGCGTGTCTTACTCTTACTTACTATTTGCTAAGATTTGTCAGTCTCAATAATCTTCAGTTTTCACTTTTGCAGGTGCAGGACTATATCGTTTTAATCTGCTTTATCTTTAAGCTTATCTCCAATTGAAAGTATTTTATTATTTCCTTACTCAATGTATTACTATATGTTATATTTCCAGCTTTATTGTTCCCTAAACTCAGAATAAAAGTATTTACTTTTGTGTTTGTGTCTGTTTTTCTTGTGTTTCACATGATAAATCTTCTTGACATTTTTCAAGTATAATTATGATCAGAGTATGCATTTATATCATATATCAATGCAATACTCACGAACCACAATATTGTAACTGGTGCAAACAGCAGTGTGCACTTTCGCCATTCTTACTTCGTTTCATTTAACCGCAGGGCCTTTAGAAGTCTTACACAAGTTTAAGGGTTCGAAATGGCCTTGACAAAATTTTATTTTATTTCAATAATCTTGCATCCTAACTTTAGCTTTATGACGTATAAAATAATGTTCGTATCAAAATATAGACGCAGTTCCCTGGGCGGATTCGGTCGCTCGCATACGAAGTCTACCAGCAGCGCCGGCAGCGCGCCGCCACCGCGTCTCGACTACCGCAGCATGGTCTCTGTCGATGACATGCCGGACCTGTTCGCATCATTTGATAGTAAGTTTGCTTCTTATTCTAATAGATATAAGGTTTATATTACTTGTGGGTGTTTATAACACGGTCTGGTGCTTTAACGTTAAATAAAAGTCGAGAAAATATTTACGCTTATGAAGTTAAGGTCTAAATATCTATATCTTTAATTTTCTTAAATCTGTTCTGTTTATTTCTCCCCTTAGCTATCTTTATCTCTCTCTCATTTTGTTTATATTAAAACTATCTTAATCTATCATTATACATCTGTCACCATACCAGCAGATTTTAGACATTAGTTCAATAACCTCACTTGCCTTACATACTGACCAGGCTTTCTTTACTACAAGCAAATAAGCAAACACTATGAATAATCGGCCCCTTATCTCGAATGCCTTATCAAATTGCCAATAAAAGAGTTAATCTTACACCAACAACATAAAGCCTGATTAACCTTTTGCCCTGAATAATGATGATAACGCAAGTCAACAATTATTACTTACCATTCTTTACATGTCTAAATTGTTTACATGCTTCTTAAATAGTTCAAATACTCAAACACCACTCAATTTTAAGACGCGTTTGTATCTACGTACTTCTGTCACTACCAATTATTTGTAAAATATAAGAGAGGGCACGATATTTAAGTAGAAGTGATCACTTTGACTGGATTTTAGTGTTACATTGTTCTCGCACAATCCAAACAACAAAACTATGTAACTAGTAAATTGTATTGTGAACCTGATTGAAAAAGAGTAACCTATGGAGTTTCTTGCTCGTTCTTCTCCATGGGAATCTACACATTGGAATGAGCAAATAGCTTCACGTTTAATTTTTTTTTGTGACTTTCAAAAGTGCCATTCTGGTCTAATTTAAATAAATGATTTTGACTTTTCAACTTAAAATTGAGTAGCCTTTCAGTATTCGGGCGTAAGTCCTGAAATCAGCTATAGTATTTGTCGTTTTCATTTAAAATCGTTTAATAATGTGATGTCATAGGTGCATTAGTAATTGTTTTGATATTTATACACTCAATATATTAATATGACTATAAACTTAACTAACGATGTTTACTCGTAAATGTCCGTCTTAAGATTATTGATCGAATGTAGATAAAATATTTATTATCTTTAAACAAGGCAACATAATTTGATCATGACATTGCATGTTGAATATAAAAGGCAATCACCTTTTATGAAACAACGAAAACGGATGCAAAGTGTTTTCGTATAATATGTCTATAAATGCCGAACATAGGTTTCCCCCCAAAGACTCTGATTCAAGATCATTAGTGGAGGTCTATTGTAGCTGATATGATTATGACGATAGTGATGATGGTGATTACGGTGGTGATGTCTAAAACATAATATATTTGGTCTATCAGAGCTAATTCCCCGACCGGCACGACCAAGTGACGACCCGCCTCTATACCTGCGCCTACGCATGGGCAAGCCCATCGGCCGTCCACTCCCGCGCACCACCCCACTGATGTCTTACGGACGCAAGCGCATGAAGCCCGAGTACTGGTTCGGAGTGCCCAGGAACAGGCAAGTACTTTTATGATGATAAAATGATATTGGTGTCAGTAAATAGGTCAAAAACAATATCCTTACTTCAGTCGGGTAAAAAAAACACACGAATATGTCAATTTTTTGAAGTAAGCTAAATGAGACGCGTGGTTTCTAAGTGAGTATTCTAAGGAGAAACATGCAACGGACAAATTAACAACTCTTTGTTGAGGGTCCAGATTTAAAGTAATGTGATGAATCGTTATCTACCTTACTCCAATGTCTTCAAAACGCGTTCTGATTACACGAGGATTAGTCATTGATTGCATCTGTCTACAAATACAATTAGCTAAATGTCTTCATGTCTAATTGGTTTCGCTCCTGCGATTGCTTCTAACTGGGTCTATATTTCGCCATGTTTTTTATCTCGATACTTCTCAATGAATGGATCTTTGTATAAATGTCTTATAAGATAATGTTTGTTGTAGGGTGGATGACCTATTCAAGTTCCTAACCCACTGGGTGCCGGACCGATACGGTCCTCTCGGTGACGTCAGCGCTCAGGGCTACGAGCTCATTGACAGCGACACCGAATGGGATGACGATGAGGCTAAACCTGGACATAAAGTAAGCTGCATTCTACACATTATACCTTTAAACATTATAAAGTGCCTCTCGCACCTGCCTAAGTACATATGCTAGGTGTGTTTGCCCCAAAACGCCTCTGAATTTGTACACATTTAATAATGTCACCGCTTCAAACACAGATTTATCTCGGCTCCTGTCATCGCTCATTAAGATAAGAATTTTCCGAGCGTATTTATGATCTTTTGTGATTTCCTAAGTAAGAATATAATGAATGAGAAATTCCTCGTAGGACGAGCGGACTGGCAGCACGGGCGACGTGTCGGACCTGACGCGCGAGTCCTGGGAGGTAAGCGCTCACACTCTGCCTACAGGGACAGCTCCTTATTACATTAATTTTACACCGTTTTTATAACTAACAAACGCTTTTTTTAACACACTGTTATATCAACGACAATGCATCTCACATCCCACATTACAGTACACATTGAACATGGATGTTTTTCTATTACAAATCTACCTTTATTTAAATTATTTTTTGGCACAGTCAGTTAATATTTATATATGTGATTTACATGCGAGAATACGTCTAGATGTCGCATTATATAGACAACAGACTATTTATGATGCTCCTTATACGTAGACGTGAGATATAAGCGCTGTGACGCTGCAGGACCGTGTTAATTCTTACTAATATACAAACACATTTGCAGCTTATGACGTGTAAACTATTTTGGGCCTTTCAATATTTATGTTTACAAGAATTAATAAAAATCTAATTAGAAGTTCATTTGCTAAATTACAATCATTATCTAACTGCTAAGTCTACAACTGAATGATCAAGGTTTAATCAAATTACTTACGACAATTACATGTTTACACCGCCGCCTCTACGATAACGATGGGTGACCACGGTGTGAACATCGTAAATTTGTACTATAGATATGCAGGCCCACATGGTAGATAAACTGCCAAATGTTTTTATTTTTACTTATCAATTCATTTACACGTGCAAGTATTAATACGAACTGAGAGTACCTATTATTTCCAGTCTGTACCTAAAAATATAAGATAACATAGAGGTGCAATATCCTGCACATTAATACCTACATTTATTTACAACAGCACAAAATGTGTAGGTAATGGCAAGTTAGTGAGTTAATGACTCATTAAATTAAATTATGGTATCTATTACTTATATTTACCATATCAAACGAAAGTCAATAATGATAAAATAGTTCAGAACAAATACATTATAAGTGCTAGTATGTCTCACACGTAAAATGAGAAGTTATGAGAATGTTTGTGAAACACTGAGAACAATAACACGACGGCATACAATACAAACATACATTGAGTACTAATGCACAATGCGGTTACGCGTAGCTGCTGAAGGCGCCCTACGTGAAAATATATTCGATTATGAAGAGCCAGGCAGAGGCGCTGGGCGACTCGCTCGGCGAGGAGCCGCGCCAGGAGGTACCGACATCAAACATTGGATGAATATGACTCTGTAGCACCTACGTGACAGTCGACTGTCTAAAGATATTATAAACATTTATTTATGACTCAAAAGTGATAAAGATTCACAATAAGCCATATAATCGCCAATAAAACACTTACTAAATTATCTCCATTTTGGAACAACAGAATAACGTTTTTAGACATTCGACTGATAACTGGGTTTTGGTGAGATTACGACGATTTCTAATTATGAATGACAGGAAACTGTTAGAATTTCCTAATTTATCTCCATTGTGCATGAGACACAGCTGACTTTAGTCCGGCCTTGACTGCCTATCATTAACTTGTTCGAGAACGTAACAAGTTACTGGGTATTTTAGGCAGGTGATGTTCTGTTATGGATGTTGTGATTTGTAAACAAAGTCATATTCATCCTCTGTGCCAATACCTCGTAGTGCGACTGTTAAGCACATCTTAGTGAAATGTTAAGCGCACTGCCCATGCCCTTAGATTGCATCCAAACTATGTAGCAACCTGCGATGTTGAGAATGTTTTCATCATACTACTGTTCCTGGCTAGAAATGTTAATGTATAGCGTGCACACTACTTGTGTATGTCTTGATAAGTACATGTTTAGGAAATGCACTATCTGTTTCAGATAAAACCGTGTTGTGTACATAGTTTAATAATACATAGCCGCGATAGCTACTGTACTGTACTTTCAAACATTAGTATTGACGATAGTTCACGCCGCTGGTGCTGCAATAACTATTTCCGAAGGAAACACCTAATTAGCCACACTACTGCTGTTTGTGTATCGCAATTTATTATGTTGTGTAAAGTTAATAACTAAATTAGTACTATAGACAGACTAAAAGCATGTTTCTATATGTGGATTTACTGAAACCGATAACGTAGATTTTTGTATTATCGGGTACAAAACGAAGAGTAGTAATTACACAACGCGAATGGAATGATGTTAGTAGAACACCTATAGTTATGGTTACGTTACAATGGACGGCGAACAATGGCACTGGACGCTGTAATCTTCCCTCACTCTATTCATCTAGTATTTTGAAAAATTGTACTTCATTACTGCCAGTGTTGTCCTTGAAATTACACCTGAAACCTGCACTTTATAGTTTTAATTAAACTAACTGTAGTCCTGAACCTGTATAAGATTTAGCATCTGTTTTAAGAACCGAGTGTTGATGTGATGGATGATGAGTAAGTCGTGTACATCCGTGCTTGCACTGTTTATAAAATAAAATAATTCACGTCAGGCCGCCATGTCTGAACCGAAAATTCTCGAAGTGTTGAAAGCTAGTCATAAAATTGATAGCTTAAAATAAGGAATGCGTTTACAACATAATTTATAATCGAAGTATATAAAAATATGTACTAGATAGGCTCATTTGCATCGTGGCTAGTGCTGCTAATGCGTCACAGAGCGGTGTTAGCTGTGTGGCGGTGGTATTGTTGACGCAGCGTTTGTCCACCGCAATACAAATTGTGTGTTTACCAGCGATGCCGACGCCGCTGCCCGCCTTTTGTTACATTATTCATAACCGGCATGGCATACAGATTCATACATAAATAATTAAATACTGTGTCTACGTGATATTGACACTGTTTCTAATGAATTCCATATTGAAACGTTTATTTACTCGTTTTGTAACTATCAACGATTAGTATTGGAAAAATACTTTGAACTTTAGGTTCCAATATCTTTAAAAGAAAGTTAGATACAAAAAGTTTGTATCACAAGCAAACTTTTTAACTTTCATAAAAAGCTAAAAAACTCCATGCTGCTTGCTTAGTGACATCAGATTTTTAGCACATTGTTTTGGCATAAATAAATATCAAAATGTCTGTGGAATTAAAAGAAGAATTACAAACACCCGCAATGGATATAAACGTAAGCTTTGAATAAATATTGCATGGTCACAGTATGTTAGATCACACAAGTATTATATAACTTGACATTATTATACCTGCAAATCGATACTTTACGCGTTTCAAAACGGCTGTTTATTCTCTGTACAAAATAAGTATTGCTATCATTTAATTGAACGAAAATACGATAAGCCATACAATACAACTAATAACGTGATAAGCTAATTAATCCTTTACAATATAATGAAACTCATCGTAATAAACCGTCGAGTCAACACGTTGATGTTGTTACATGCATGCTGCTGCTTCAAGTAAACAACTTAATATTCTTTAAATTTTCCTTAATTAAAGAAGAGGCAATAATTTATTATAAATGGGATATTATTGGAATTGCAAATGTGTGGAATTTTTAGATGTCGACCAAAATAATTTGCCGTTACGTAAACTCAGCTTAATGACAAAATAATGGTCCTAACTATTATGCATATGCAGTCAATTTTATGTTACTGTCATTCAGTAAAAGGCACTAAATAATTGCGACACTTAGATAAAGTTTTTTTTAAATGTAACTGCAATATCTGCATTTTGCAATGCAGGCGATGTACATACATCCATATTGTACACTATTGTACAGTGCATGCTTAATTGAATTAAAGGTGAACCTTTTGTGACCGATAGCCACAACGTAGCACAGTAACTGCGATAGAGATTATCCAATTGTCCAGCAATGTCCTCGTGTACGTAACTGCAGGGATATTCCACAACCATATACCCAATTGATTGTAACCAATTACTTTATTTAATGCTCTGCTGCCACAGGAACCGAATTAACTTATTTTGATACGTATATACGACAATTTGTTGATTATTAGCATCATATTGTACGGAAAATGATAATGATCGTGACCATAGCCACAATGAACGCGTGCTCTTATTTGGATCGCATGTGTAATGCCATTAACTAAGACAATTTAATTTGACGTTGATCCGTGTCGCGCTCACTGAAATTGTACCACAATCTGTTCTGGCAGACGTTTCCGCTATGAAATTGGCAACTGCCAAGCCTCTGACTCCATAACAAGAACATAATATGTACATACCTGCTTACCTTGAAAATGTTATATTACCTATATATAATTTAGAATGGCCTAATTATGTATTCAAGTCTAGGATACTGAATCACTTAGATTTCAATAACGACAAATTCACGTGTTTTCTTATTTGATATTTAGAAATATAGGTATCAGCGTGACCCGTTTTACAACACTTATTGCCAGACTTATGGCTACATAATATTTTTCTGAAAACCTGTTTTCTAACAATCAATGTTAGAGTTCCTTTATTAGAATGTTTATGGATAGTTAATATTAGTAGTGATGATTCCCTGACTCTGGCTCACGCGTTTGACCGGTCAAATCCGGAAGATTCAGTCGCACCAAACCTTAAAAAAAAAAAAAAAAAA